CAAACCCTTCTTCTCTTCATATGTTCCATCTAATTTCCTAGAGTAGGAAACTGCAATTTCCTTCCCTCATGCTTCAAAACTAATTCACCCATCCTAATCCTAACCCTTCTCTCACTTATTTCTCAAATCCATTCATTTCTGTCTATGTCCACTGCCAATATGCTAATTCAGGCCTCCCCCACAATAGCTGCCCACTGCCTTCACAATGTAATTCAAACTTCTTAAAATTGCATGGGGTTTATATCTTGATGTATTTATGTGCATCAAGCCATAATCTCTCGTCTAGTCCTGTCTTTACCTGAGATAACAATACCAGCTCCTGCATGAAAGGTAGAATACAGAGCACGTAAACTTTACTAAGTCCATATCAGATAAATTATTTATTCTAACAATAATAGCAGAGAGTTTGAAAAACTCAGTTAATGATTGTACCACTGTGCTCTAACCTGGGTGACAGACAGGGACCCTGCCTCTAAAAAATAAACAGCAAAAATAAAAAGCTCAGCTAAAAGGTCTGCTATGCGGCAAATAATACATAAAATAATATTAACTTTAACAAATACAGTAGAACTGCCATAGGTGACCACCTCCCTCATTGACCACCTCCTTTTCATAAACTGGACGTGCCCCGCATGTACGTATCAGTACATAGGCCTAGTTCCTTATGTTGACCAGCTCCATATGTTGACCAGTTTGTTAGGGTCCCCGGGTGGTCAACTTACAGAGGTTCTACTGAATTTACTACATGGCAGGTTCTTTTCTAAAAGGTTTGTAAATATTAATTCACTTAACACATAGAATATTTTTAGAGGTAGTTGGTATGACTCCATTTTTCACAGGAGGAAAATGATTCATAGATAGTTAAGAAACTAGTCCAAGGTTACGAAGGTGGGATTTGGGCCAGGGAGTTTGCTTCCAGAAACCAGGCTGTCAGTTACTGTACTTTGCTACTCTGCCCTGTGTGACCTGTGAACATAGAAACTATTTAATTGTCATACCCAACATTTTGTTACATTATTTATAAATTGTAACATATTAGGCACATATCATGATACCAAGTCATGCAGAGTATTTAGGCAGAGAATTTATTGTCTCTGCAGAAATTTCACACGTAGCTGTGGTCACCAGGCATGCCAGGCAAGGTGGGCGGCTGAGGCTGCAGCTCATAGTGGCTGTCTGGTCGAGTGATGCCAGTGTTGGGCTGTAGCCTGGGTCCCATGACCCTGCCAGGCACCAACACCTACCTGGTGGGAACCGCCCCAGGAGAATCCTCATTGCCACTGGAGAACCAGCAATTCCAGATTATACCAGCTGTTTAAGGCAGGCTCTCATAGAGTTTAACACAGCTCCCCAGGAAATCATAGTGACTCACTGGCACCAGGATCATCCTGGTGGCACAGGAGGTATTTGTAAAAGGACTAATAATGACACTATCTATTGTACTTAAAAACTCTAAGAGGAATCTTCACAGGGAATAAATTATAGAAAATGGAGAGCAGCAAAATGTTTATCTGAAAGGTGGAGATGTAATTAAGATCAAGGGAATCCTCTGAGAGTTTAATGTAACACCTGGCCACACTGGGGATCATGTGCCTTGCCTCTTAAAGAGGGGGATGCTCTTTGCTGGAGATTGCAGCCTAGGGGCAGCAACAACTATATATGAAGACCTCTATGTTTATACGCACTTCCTAAAAGAATGATTGAAAACAAGAGCTGACATTGTCTACCCAGGACATGACCCCGAAATCCATCATGCTGAAGCAAAATCCTACAGCACATTTCCCTCAGAAATGTCTGAGAACAGAAAATGCTTACATTATCTCCTGAGAACTTGGAGCTTGTACAAATTATTGGCAAAAATACTCCTGAATATTTACATACAATGACTAAGCATAATCCCTTGCTTCATTTGAAAAAACTAAAAAAAGAAGGAAAAATACTTAGCAACACAGATCCGGACAAGAAATGGAAAGCCAATTCAGACGAATGAAAGCTTTGTTTTGTTGTCAGAGAACAGTATATATATATATTTTTAACTATGGCTTATTTATAAAAAAAAATACAAAGTGTAAAACCCTGAACATAACTCTACATACTTTTTAACTATTCTAAAATGTGTAAATTACATTATAAATGTATGACATAGGTTATTTATCTAATCTTGGTCTTAAAAGATTTTATTAGAAATTCAGAATCCTAAAGCTTACAGTTTTCAATAGATTACCTAAAATGGTTATTTTGAAACTATTAACATTTGTATAATTGTTTTAGAAAGGAACTTTACATATTGTAGATCTGATGTCCTTATAGTAGGGACGTTCCTTTTCTTCTCTGTGTGTAGGAGATATTCAAGTGCTGCTATTCCACACTATTAACCTTATTTAAAGGACTTACTACAGGATGTTTTCTATGAGAAATTTATCTGACACATGTGGACTCACAACTTTATTGCTTTTGACTTGTGAATATGTCATTTTTAATCTATGTTATTATCCATAGAGTTGTCTTTTGATATATATGTCCTCTGCAAGTATACAGTAAGATTCTCAAGGCCAAGAGCAGTATCTTTTATTTATGTACTGTAATGAAATCTCTCACATCTTTTTTCCTTTTTTTTAAGAGATAGAGTCTTACTCGGTCACCTTAACTAGAGTGTGGTGGCATCATACCTCACAGCAGCCTCAAACTCTTGTGTCAAAGCAATCTTATTGACTCAGCCTCTCAAGTAGCTGGGCCTGCAGGTGTGTACCACCACACCCAGGTAGTTTTTCTATTTTTAGTAGACATGGGGTCTTGCTCTTGCTAAGCTTGGTCTTGAACTCCTGAGTTCAGGCAACCCTCAAGCCTTCCAAAGTGGTAGGATTATAGGCATGAACCACCATGCCCAGCGCAAAAATTGTTCACATCTTCACACTAAAGCATCAAGTCCCTCCAATCTTGGATTTCTCTTGAAATCACAATGTTCTTCCGAGCAATATAATTTAACTATAAATTATAAAGCATGCAGGTGAACATATCTATATAATAGTATCTCAAACTCTAAATATTCCAAAACCCAAAGTTTCTTTTTTTCCATCAAATTTCTTCCTCCCCAATATTTTTGCTCTCAGCAGCAGAAATTTTCATCTGTAACTTCTCTCTCCCAGTCACCAATTCTAACAGCTCTCCCTCCCAAATGCCTCTTCTATCTGTTACCCTTTCCCTTTCCACTGACTGTGACCATGTGCAGGCTGTGAGTACCTCTCACTATACCAGAGTCCCCTAAGAGATTGCTCCAAATCCAATTTCTAAGTAGTAGAATCCATCATTTACATTTCTCCTTCTGCTAATTTCTAAACGCTGACATGATTGTTACTTATTCACTCAAAACAACTTACAAAGACCAAATTCCTTACTAAGGCATTCCAAACCTTCCCTGTATAGGCCTTGAATTCCTAGATGACCAGTTCATTGAGGTTAGGAACATGATTTTCCAAAAATCTGGTATAATGCAGTAAGATCTCTCTGTCTTTTTATGTTTGTGTGTATTTATGACTCTATATTTGTTTTATCAAGTGGCATCATAAACACTGCGCTCATACTACAATTGCTTAGCTGGAAATATTGTGAAAGAAAAACCAGAGCCAAACAGTAGTTAAAATAGCAAAAACATTTTATTCAGGAATCATTGCAATAAAGGAAAAGAAATCTCAATATAGAGTGTGCTCACTTCCAAATACAGCATGGACAAGCAGGGATTTACTGCCGGTGAGCAACATGGAGCTCAACTTGTTGGAAAATTACTAAAAGGAAACATCAGGAGTGGGGAGGTTTCTGGTTAAACAGACCTAACAGGATCCCTGCTGAAGACAGACCAGAGTGTGCAGATAGCAAGGATAGGAGAGGAGGGATTGATCAGTTATGGAGGGCGATCAGGTATGAAGGGTGCTGGATCTCTCTAAACTGAATTAGCAAGGTTATTGCTACAACTGGGTGATGCAGGTGCCACACCATTGAAGCTAAGGTCAAAGATTAGTTGGAAAGAAAGCTTAGATGAACTTGACTGAAATTTAGTCAAGGAGAGTCCTTGTCAGTGTCAACACTGTCCTTGTCATGTGTGGCCCCGTGGTTTGTCAATGTCAACACTGTCCTTGTCATGTATGTGTGTTAGTATTGCCTTAATTTACCAGACAGGGGCTTCCAGGGCATAAGAGCAGAGTCACCATCTTTTGGGTGGAACAGCAGCCACAGAGAAAGCCGACTGTGGTTTTTTCTTAGTCTGGGATGGGAGAGGGAATCTTGATTTACTTTCAGTACTCCTCAGATAGATGTGACCAGACCCTCAAATTACATAGCTCTTCAGTGATAAAAACATGACTTAAAACACTTCTATTTTGTCACTTATAGCTTGAGATGTCACTTGATATATGTGTCCTCTGCAAGTATACGGTAAGATTGTTAAGGCCAAGAGCAGTATCTTCTATTTATGTATTGCAATAAAATCGCCCATCTCTCTCTCTCTCTCTTTTTCGTCCATTACTTTGATCTTCCTCTCTCTCCCCCACCCCTCCCGGTAGAGTGCCATGGCGTCTTAGCTCACAGCAACCTCAGACTCTTGGGCTGATCCTTCTGCCTCAACCTCCCCAGTAACTGAGACTCCAGGCGCCCGCCACAGAGTCCGGCCAGTTTTTAGAGTCGGGGTCTCGCTTGGGCTCAGGCTGGGGTCGAACTCCCGAGTTCAGGGAATCCACCCGCCTCCGCCGCCCTGAGTGAGCCACCGCGCCCGCCAACAATTGTCCTAATACAAGTCTGGACGCGGAAAACGGCTCCCAGCAAAGCATCCAAATAAACCTCGCGCGAAAACTAGCCAAGTACACAGAGGAGCAGAAGCCCCCGGAGTACAGTCTGGGACTGAGGGCACGCCCCCTCAAATCTCGCGAGATCGCAGCACAGGCGCTGCTGCCCAACTCCCCGACTCTCGCGAGATTACAGGGCTCCCGCTTCCCGTCTCCGGAGCTGAGGCCGCGGCGTCTCCCGGGGCAACAGCAATGGCGGCTTCGCTGTCCGAGCGGCTCTTCTCCTTGGAGCTGCTCGTAGACCGGGTGCGTCTGGAAGCTCGGCTGCTGCCGGCGTCTGCCGTTGCGGGGGAGCAGGGGCAGGAGGACTCCTCGCCCCTGCGCGCCCTGTGCCCCGCCGTGGCCTTCCGCCTGCTGGACTTCCCCACGCTGCTGGTCTACCCCCCGGACGGCCCCGCCGCGCCCGCCCCGGAACCCTGGCCGGGCGTGATCAGCTTCGGTCGCGGCAAGTCCTGTCTCTTCCGCCTGCACCCTGCCACCCTGCACCGCCTGCTCCTTAGGACGCCGCTTCACACCTTGCTCCTGCAGCTGCCCCCCGGGCGCCCGACCCCCGCCCCGCAGCTCCTGGGTTCGTGCAACATCTCTCTGGCCGCCGCGGTCCAGAAGGTCGTGGGGCCGGCAGCCTCCAGGTGTTCCCAGGGCCACCGGGGAAGTTTCCCCCTGCATAACCGAGCTGGGGAGCGGATTGGGCACATTATGCTGGCCTACCGTCTGACTGACCTGGGAAGCGGCTTGCTGGGCCATCTCGAGCGTCCGGTCACCTTCACCTCCACGGCAGGTGGGGTGAAGCACGAAGAGGTCCTGGAGGCAGTGGAGGTCAGTTTCCAACCCCCGCAGGAGCAACAGCAGCCACAGCAGCCGGCCTCAGAGACAAGCCCAAAGGACACTGACAGGTCTCCAGGCGAGTTAGAAATCCCAAAGGCACAGAAAGATTCGAAGAAAATCATTTTCCATAGTAAGGCCAACACTGGCAACTCGGGCTTCTTGGAGAATGACAAAACCTCCTGTGTTGTTACTTGTCCAAATGCTAAGGGTGGGAGGTGTTTTAGTCCCCGAGATGAGGAAGTTACAGAGTTGGACATTGAAACCAACACATTTTGTCCTCCTCCTCTGTATTACACTCACTTGACCCAAGAAAAACCACCTCCTGCACAAGTTAAAATCACTATTGAGCCTCAGGTGAAGTTACCCGAGGAGTTGGACGGTGCTTTTCCAGAAAAACAATGTATAAATTCCCCAACACATAGGAGGTCTCTAAAACATACAAATTTTGCAACAGATGAGGGTCCTCCAGTGCTTGTAAATCCTCCACTTATTCATGATATAGGAGCAGTTAATCAAACTACATGTCACACTCAAACTGAACAAAATAGAATTAATACAATAAGGCAGCTGCCTTTGTTAAATGCTTTGTTGGTTGAGTTGTCCGTGTTATATGACCAACCTGTGGCAAGTCCTACTCATATACATCCTCATTTAGCCTGGTTATACAGAGCTGAGGATAAGAAGGGATCAGAATCTTTTGCCAAGTCCACATGTGGGACCGAATCTAAAGAGAATAAGCTTTCAGTGGAGGACCATGAAAAGTCAGTCAGTCCGCAGCATAAAAAGAAACAAGTTGAAAACCCTCAGAAAGGTAAACATTTTGAAAAGAGCAGTGGTACCCCTCAAAAAAGAGCTCCAAGGGGTAGGCTACTCTATGGCTTAACAAATACACTAAGACTTCGTTTAAAACAAACAAATCCTGATATGTTGGTAGTGCATGAAAAGAGGGAACAGTACAGAAAGATGCAAGCACAAATATTGGGCACAAAACTCAGAATTCCATCATCCAAAATTAAAATACTAAGTTTTACAGAACAAAGTCAGAAGCCACATCAGCTACCTGAGGATAAGTATTTAGATTCAGATGTATCTTTTGCTGAAAATAGTGATACCTCAGGGCAAATTAGTAGATTTTTTGATGAGCCCAGCACAACTAAAGAAATTAAACTGAAATGTGCAACTGATAAGAAGAGAAATGATTGTGGTAAAAGTAGAACCAGTAATGGTTCACTGGGGGAAATTGTGAGTCCTGCACATTCCACTATTTCAGAAATGTTGACCCATACAAGTGTTTTGGGAGGTGAAGTGGAAGTTCAAAGTCCAAATGTTTTTCTACAAGATACTGTTGACAGAGTTTTAGTAGATGAAGAAATAGATAAGGGGCCAGGCAAAACTACAGATAATGACATTCTTACTGCTAATGAAAATAAAGCAAGTGGAAATAGTTGCTATGAAAACATCTCAGAACTGAAGTATTCAGATGATTTCACCAGCTCTTGCTGTTCGGAAGATTTCTGTACCACTGAGGACACCAACAAAAGTTTACAAGCTCATGATAGCAGTCCAGGGGCAGAAAATCCAAAACCTAGTCAATATACAAGTACGGCAGGTGAAACAAGATTGTTCATAAGGAAAAACAGCAGTGAAAAGAGTTTTATTCTTAGCCCACCATTTTCAGCAGGATCACCAGTACACTCATACAGAAAATCTCGTATTTCAAAGACTCAGGATAAAAGTTTGGAGGAAGCATCTTGTATCTCTACCAGTGATTTATCTTCATCACAGTGGACTGAAGAAAAAGAAAACCAGATAGACAAAAATGGTATGCATACTTCTAAAGTTATAAAGAGTGGTCAAGACATCGCTATTAAACTTAAAACAAGAACTGGTTGCAAATCTTTAGAAAAAAGCCAATCGCTGCAGACATCACAAGTGAGTTCTTATCTGCCTTCTAACTTGTCAGAACTAGAACTTAATGTTCTTGATAACAGTACATCAGATCACTTTGAAGACGATGACTTTGGTTCACTAAGTATTTCCAAGCAATGTAAAGACATATGTGAATTAGTAATAAATAAACTTCCAGGGTACACGGTGTAAAAACATACTTTTAACAAACATTTTTTAAACAACCTGTGTGGACTGTTAATGAAAAAAATTTAAATATTAGTAATGTTATGTTAGTATGTAAATTATGTGAGTTAAGTCTTTTTAAGAAATAAAAATGTTTGTCATTTCTTTGATGTTTAAATAGTGTTCTACTAAATCTGGTAATATTGATCATAACAATCACTTTGTAGCCTATAAGATTACTTTTTAAGTTGTTTAATCTTGTAAGAATAAAAGTTGCTATCATTCTGTCTCTCTTAAAGTATCTTTCCTAAAGCATTGATCATCCTGAACCTGACCATGTTATTGAAAAAAGGTAAGTTAATAAGGATAGCTTCAAATTTTGGAATTAGTCATGTAACAAATACAGAAGAGGTGCTGAAAGGTACAAAAATATTTAAGATAGAGCACCTGCTGTTACAAGAGCTTACAATTTTATATAGACAAGAAGTCTTTTTTTTTTTTTTTTTGAGACAGAGCCTCAAGCTATCCCCCTGGGTAGAGTGATGTGATATCACAGCTCACAGCAACCTCCAACTCCTGGGCTCAAGCAAGTCTCCTGCCTCAGCCTCCCAAGTAGCTGGGACCACAGGCACCCGGCTATTTTTTGGTTGCAGCCTTCATTGTTGTTTGGCAGGCCCAGGCTGGATTCGAACCCGCCACCTTAGGTGTATGTGGCTGGCGCCTTAGCCACTTGAGCCACAGGCACAGAGCCAACAAGAAGTCTTCACTGGTATGTACACATCCTGTGTCTCTTACAGATGAAGTTACTTTTATATGCTATGATAGTGCTATGTACCTTTTTTTTAAACCACAGTTTGATTACTTGATTAATGTTTAGGGTCTACTAGGCTTCAGTTCTGTGATGGAAAGGACTGTATTTGTTTTATATGTTAAACTATTCCTAGTATCTAGCCCGGTCCCTGGCATGTGGTTGGGGTGCAATAAAACATTCATTGAAGAAATGAAGGAAGACTGGGCATTTAAGATACCTAATGGGAGGTCAAAAAATTAAGCAGTAAAAGTAAGCAGAAACTCTAAAACCCTGTACAAAATCCTTATTGGAGACATGTTTGAATGTAATAATTTTGTTTTGCTATATATAAACAACTTTAACCCTTTTGGAGAGGAGACCTAAAAAAAGCCTTTCTATAAAGTTTCTTATATAGCAGCTGAGTTGTTTGTCCTTTCAGTTTGTTCAATACTGACTTTCAATGTGTGAAGATTTATATGAAATGTGGCAATAATTTCTTTATCATTTGTTCTATTGTGTTCATATTTAGACCTTATTTTGTGTTCAAATATTTACATATATTTTCCTCCAGCTGTGCTACACTTTAATTTTAGACTTTTCAATATGTTTGTAATATTTATAAACATATGAGGTGAGTTCCTGATTTTCCTTTCTTTATGGATAATAATTTTAAGTATAATCTTCTGAATGGTCATAATGACAGGATTTAGGTAGCTGGTAAGAAGAGGATGTTATATTTGGGGAGCAGAATGACTAAAAGGATGATGATGGGTATGAATATCATATATTCCTAGGGCAGAGAAAATATTATCTTGATTAGAATGATAGGTTCATGCTACAGAGTGGTAGAAAGGAAATTCATTTTTGAGTTTAAGGAAAGTCCCAGATTACAGAGAACTTCAAATGCCAAGCATATATAATAAAAGTCCTAAGCAACAGGAACAATAGGTTATAAATGAGCACCAGTAAGTATTTATGACATTCTGAATATTTTAAATTATCAAAAATAATTACCTAGAGGCATAGAAATTATGCCAGTGAAAGATTTTGAAATAAAGGCTTTTTGTGGCTAATAGCTATTATGATCTTAATTTTTGTACAAATACAGTATATCATCTCACAAAATCAAAATAATTTAATGCCAGGTATTACAACTAGACATTAAAATGCTGTCAACTGGGTAAATTGTTCAATCACAACTGTTCATTTCTATAGATGAGAGAAAAATGTAAACAGTGCCAGAATCATCAAAGAAATAATTCCTTAAAAACCAACTGTTTTATTTGTTTGGTTGAGAGTAAGTCACTGTGATGAGACTAGGTAAGGAAAATGATGAATTCAGTGTGTGTGAGATATAACAAAGACCTGAGAACTAATGTACCTGGGTGGTGCCTGTGGCTAAGTGAGTAGGGCGATGGCCCCGTATACCGAGGGTGGCGGGTTAAAACCCAGCCCCAGCCAAATGCAACAAAAATAATAGCTGGGTGTTGTGATGCCTGTAGTCCCAGCTACTTGGGAGGCTGAGGCAAGAGAATTGCCTAAGCCCAAGAGCTGGAGGTTGCGGTGAGGTCTGTCTAAAAAAAAAAAAAAAAAGAATTAATGTACCTGAAATTACAAATTTAGGTAGCTAATAATCTTCTCTGTGAGCTATCCCCTGAACACTTGTTTCTAGAATTGTGGTATTGGTTTTTCTAGCTTAATTCTACTGAAAAGAAATGTTTCCATGTATTTAGTATGTCCTATTTGGATTCCGTCTTCTGTTTGCTATTTTAATTCTACAATCTATAAATGCACATTTTAGTGAATTTTGTAATATAAGCTATTTATGAAGCCTTATTTACTCCCCCCCATGAATTGCTTAAAATAAGGTCACAAATAAGGGGGACTTGCAAAAGTCTTTGTAAAAACCAAGCCATAGCAAACCTTCTAGAAGGTCTTCTGAATAGCACAGGCATCTCAGCTGCTATGGACAAAGCTGAGTAGGAGATAAAATGAGTTAAGACCTACCTCTATGTGGTAGACAGGTTAAAAATAAGAATGACTCAGCAAGTCTGGGCCCGTGTATTGTCATTCTGTATGACTCTCTAGACGTTCCTAATGCTTACAGCTTAGGCGGCAGCTGTCAATAATGACAAATCTTATGACTTGATAGTAAACTTCTGTCATGCAATTCTTGTGGCTTTCTGTTGAGAGCTACCCGTTTTCATCTCAGTTAATTTATATTTATCTTGTGTACAAGCAGTGAATTTATTATGGGATTGTACTTAGGAGCCAGACTTTTATTGGTAGCAAACATAGTGGTCAAGACCTTAAGTTAAAAAACCCATCTTTTTAATTACTACATTGTGTTGTTGGCAAGGCAGAAACATTTCATAATGAAGAAAGCAACATATAAATAAGATAAGCAGCGTTGAAATTTGTTGAGTCAAAGTGTCCTTGGGCCTAGAGGAATAGTCATTCTTCAGGCTGTTTCTGTTTTAATTTGGATTAAACTGTCTAGAGAGTTGTAGAGAATGACAATATATGGGCCAAGACTTGCTGAATCATTCTCTTCTTATTTTTAACCTAAAACGATATAAGGAAAGTTTCCTTGGTTGAGGACCAAGGTGTTCTCAGCTGATTTTCTCCAGGGATCTTACTATTATGCCAGGGAGTTAACAGCCTTCAGGACGAGCTTCATTAGGCTGGAGTGCCAAGCCGTAGTAAAGAAGTATTTCCTTATTTTCCAGGCTCTTTTTATATCTCTATTATACTAATTATATTCTAGAGAAAACAGAAAACTCAGATAAGAGTTTTTGCTTCAAATTTGTGTACTAAGGAAAGGTTATGTCTTTTCCATTCAAAATCCCATTGAAACGATACAAGATGCAAAAATAAGAATGAATCCATAGTAGCCCTGGAAAACAGGGAAAATGCCAGTGGTAGACAAGACAGTTTGAGGAAGTTCTGGAAAATCCAAAGCAGTTGGGATTGGGTTGCTGCAAAAATGGGATACAAATCCACTCTTCAACATAGCCCCATGGGAGTGCTGCTGGGGACGTGGGAGGCTGTTTCCTGACAGCTCCAGACCAACTTCAGGTTCCTTCAGCAGAGAGTGAGGGAGCAGGCTGGGGGCAACCGGGACAGAAAGAGAACCCTGAGGACCAGGGAAAAGCAGAGCCGGGGTAATGGGCATCTAGCAGAGAGGTGCTGGGACGAAGGAGAAAACTGGGATTTCTTTTTTTGCTTTTAACACCAAAACATTAAAACTATGTCTCAATTTTACTGGGGAGACTACTAATTCTCGTGGCAAATTAAACTGGTATAAACCTAATATATGGAGGCAGACAAGCAGAGTTTGCATCCTTGATTTTGTCGTATTACTCCTTGAAGACTGTCTTGTAGGATTGGTTTCAGGATTGAATCAAGTAACTTGTGTATTGCACATATGGCAGTTACTGGGAGTCTGAGTGTTGGGGGATGTATTTAATGAAACTACAGAGAATGTATCATGGTATCTGTATTCCTGTCCTAGGGGAACGTATTGCAATTAAAACGTTAGTCACGAAATCAACACTTCTCTCAAAAGGCTTAAACAACCCTCCCATAGCTTAGGAAGGCCAGGAAGCCAGGGGGACAAAGGAGGCAGCACAAAGAATGCTGGCCAGGGAAGAAGATGGTCTAGGTCAGAGAGCAGAGCCTCAAAACCAAGCAGAAAGAGGAGCCCTTCTCAAAATACTAAACAAAGTGGGGCATCTAGTGTGCAGAGCATTGGGGCTGGACCAGGAACAGGGGAACACAAAAATTGGATATGCTGGGCAAAGCAAGCCTCATCTCGACTAAAAATAGAAAAATTAGCTGGGCATTGTGGCAGGCACCTGTAGTCCCAAATGCTTGGGAGGCTGAGGCAGGAGGATCCCTTGAGCCCAGAATTGAGCTTGCTGCAAGCTAGGCTGAGCTCACAGCTCTCTAGCCTGGGGGACAGAGTGAGACTCTTACCTCAAAAAAAAATTTTTTTTTTGGATATGCAAGCAGTGATTTTCAGGCCAACTCTCCTGACAATAGGCTCCTTCAGACCTAAAGTAATCCATCATTTTTTATGTCGTTCTGAGTCCGGAATTCAGTCCCAATTCAGCCCCATAGGGCTGACACTGACATTACAAATTCTGAGACACTCAGCAACTCTTAGTTGTAAGGAACTCTTAGCCATAGTATGAGTAAAGACAATTTTCTAAAATAGCTAGAAAGTGGTGTATCA